AACTAAGTACTTAAAATATTGCTCATATTTGATCTTCAATGTAAATAAAAACGACGTGACGGGAAGGATGAGCGCGGGGCGACTGGGGAGACGAGGTTTGTTTTTTGCTCCGTCTCCAAGGTCGGTTGCTCTGGAAAAGTGTGGTTTTCACAGGATGCCGTGTTCCCCAGGGAGCAGCTTTATGTAAGAGCTGGTGGGTAAAATCAGCTTGAAGCCGAAGCGCAGGGGAGGACGAGGACAGGGCGAGGGCTATTTTTGGGCGATTCCCTGCTGCCCCTGTAATTTGGAGAGGTTTACTGGAGGAGAGAGGGGGGAGACTGCTGTTGTTAAATCGCTAACTGTGAGCTATAGGATGTCATTAAGCTGCTCTGCTTGGCCCTGCTCAGTGACTCACAAACATATCACACACTTGCATGCGCCGGGTCTTAAGCTCCTCTCTGCTGTGTGCTTTTGTGCGTCTTATTCTCTCCGGCCAGTCGTCAGCGCACACGAGCGGGGCTGCACGAGTCTGTCCACGCTAACGGCACACAAAGGCATGAATGGAGGCTCTGAGAGGCCTCGAAGCTGCGACTTCATTTAAACCTGGAAGGTGACGGCACCTGCGGAGGTGTTGATTATCTTGTCTTGGAGATGGAGAGTTTCCGGGAGAGAGATGACCTCACGCTCCTGTTTTTCTCTCTCGAGCTGAACAGAGAGGCCAGTGTGACCGAACACGACTGTGTGGATTCCTCAGGAGAAATCAAAAGCCTCCTGTTAGGTAATGAGGCATGGATAAAAATACTGTTATTTCTTTAATAACGCCGGCCCTCATCACAGACTATTATCCAGGTGCAGAAACATCTCATCTTTAACCCTCCTCACTAATAATTGCTGCTTTGAATGAACCTGCTGCTCCTTTGCTAATTTAAATCCCATCCACAGGCACATCTTTGTATTCACAGGCAGATATTAAAGATCTTCTCTTGATAAACAGATCACAGCAGGCTGATAGCAGCTACCGCCATCGAATGACACCATCCTCACCAGCCAACCGACGATCGGCGACCTAATCCAGCGCCGCCGACTCCGTTGGTTTG